AATATATTCTTTAAAATATTATTATAATAAATTATAATAAGTTATAGTAAGTTATGATAAGCTATAATAAGTTATAATAAGCTATAATAAGTTATAATAAGTTATGATAAGTTATAATAAGTTGTGATTTTTATTAAATTTTTTAATAAGTTGCAATGTATAGTTATAATATAAGTATTATAATATAGTAATTATAGTTATTATCTTTATTTTTAAGAATAACACATAATAACAAATAAAGAATAAGTTTTAAATATAATAATTTTGTCTGTCTTGAATTAGTTTTCTGTGTAAATTTTATTTTAAATAATATTATCAATTTTCTGTGTGAATTTTCTTGATATACTAAATAATATAACTAGAAAGATTACATTAATAAAATAATAAATAATAATAAAAATTATATACTTAATAATATAAATTAATAATTATCTTTAATTTATTCTAATTATATTTAAATTATAATTAATTATATTTTATTATAATTTGAAGATAGAACTGATTAAGTTAATTTGATAAATTTGTATTAAGTATATAATATTTGATATAATATTAATAATAAATAATTATTAAATAATTTTAGTTTTAAAAAAAAGCTTTCATCAATTAAAATTAAGAAAAAGCAAATATAAATAGAAGAGAAAAAAAGATAATATATTCTTAATTAATCTAAGATTATAAATAAAATATATAAATTATTTGATAATGAAGTAAAATAAGTAATTATAACTTATAATTAATTTTATTCTCTTAAATGATGATATATAATAAAATATATTAATATTATTAAACTAATATATAATATATTATATTTAATCTGATAAAAATTAATTATAATTATTATTTAGATATATACTATTTTCTATATATTATAAAATATAAATTATATTACTAATAATAATATTATATTTTTATCATTATAATATTAATAATATGAATATAAATTTATTATTATATTTTTTTATAAATTATAAATATCTAAATATAATGATAAACTTATGAACTAATTATCATTTAAATAATAATATATATATAATCTCATTATTTAATCTAAATTAAGTAAAAATAACATAATTATATTATTTTTACTTAATTAAATTAAAAAAAATTAATTTATTTAATTTAAATTACTAAATATTAAAATATTATTATGATATAAACTTTTATTAAAAATATTATTTATTATTTAATTGATTAATTTATATTATATTCTTATTAGATAATTATTTAACTATATTTTATTAAAATATTAGTTTAAGAAAATATTATTTATATGAGTTATTGCAAGAAGATTAATATATCAATATAAATTAATAGTTACTTTTAATAAAAATTATTCAAATTTTAACTAATTTTTATAATTTTTTTATATTAGATAAAAAATAATCTAAATTTACTTTTTATATTATTTTAATTATTTTATTATACTTTAATTTAATAATAAATAAAGTATTATTTTACTAAAAAAACCAAAATAAAATTATTTTTTTTAAAAAAAAGATATTTAAATATTATCTTTATTAATTTACAAAATTAAAATATCAAATTATGCAAGCAAATTACTTTATATTTAATAAATATATATTCTAAATTTTATAAAAATTGAATTAATAGTTATAAAGATATTAAGATTCAAAGATATTAATTTTAATTAAATTTTATATAGTAAAATTTAAGAAATAATAATTTAAAAAAGTTATTATCAGTAAAAATTTTTTTTATTAAAGATATATAATAACAATTTTTATATTTAAATAAATTCCAATATCTAATAACTTAATTAAATAAAACAGAATTAAAAATTTTATTTTGAAAAAATAATTTATTAATATTTATCTGATATATCAAAATTTTTACAACAGATCATACTTAGATAATATTTTAGTTTATAGTAAATTAAAGAAAAAGTATATTTAATATTTTTATTAAAAAAGATAGTTATAATTAAAAATTAGTTAGTTTTAACTATTATATTAAAATTTCACTTATTTCTTAAATTAACAAGTTATTATAGAAGTTTATTAATGAATTATTAACTATAATCTTATTTTTATAGTATTTCTATATAAAAATAAAAAATATAAATAGTTTATTTAAATATAATAAGCAATATTAATTTTATTATTATCTAATTATTAATTATTTTTTATTATTATTACTAATATATCTGATTTTACTATTAGAATTATATTAAGTTAAAATTATAATAAGATAGTTAATATATAATATTTAAATCAAGAAAATTCTTATTAGTTAAATTTTATCTAAAAAAATTCAATTATATAACTATATTAAATGACAAAATGTTAATAATAAAGATCATATTTAAATATATATTAATATTTTTCAATAATTTTATTAATTAAAAATAAATAAAAGTATTATCAGTTATGAATCTTGTTAATATAAAAAAGTAATAATTAATAACTTTTTGAATTATTTTAATTACAAGTAATTCTAGAATATATATAAAAATAATTTACTATAAACTTTATAGTTTAATTATCTATTACTAAGTCTAAATATGATATAAAAGTTATATTTATTTATAAATTTTCAAAAAGAATATACTATATATTAATATATATATAATAGTAACAATATTTAATATTACAAAAATATTCTTTGAGAATATCTTTAAATTATATAATCTACTTTTAATAATTATATCAGATAAAGATGTCAAATTTACAAGCAAATTTTGAAAATTACTTTTTAAATAACTTAGAATAAAATTAATAGCATCAATAATCTTTTAACTATAGTTAGATAATCAAATAGAAAGATTAAATAAAAATTTAAAAGAAATACTTAGAATATATAATATAAAAATAAGATCAATAAAAGAAAAATCTAGTAATAGTTGAATTTATTTATAATAATACTAAAAAAACTTCTATAAATATATAAAATTAGAGAATTCTATTTGTTTATATAAAGCATATTTATATGTATATTTTGAGATTTGTGGATGAAAAAGACTTAAATATAAATAAAAAGCATCCAGAAAACTAAAAACTTTCTAAAGAATGACTTATGTTCCACAAAACAGAATTAACAAAAACCTCGTTTTCAAAAAATATAACACAGTGCCGAATTTTGACATCAAGCTCTTTGTATTCTTTGATAAATTCAAAAACCTCTTCATTGATTGTCTTTACATATATTTTAATCAACCCAGTATCTCGGTATGATGCAATATTGGTGTTGAAAAAAAATATTGAGGGCGCAAGACCGCATTCAGCTTCACATAAAATTATATTTTTGTGTGAATATGAAAGTTTGTCTACATTGATATCCGCAATCCATGTCCCTGAATATAGCATGTCTTCAGAATTTACTGGTTTCAGCACATTATCAAGTGTGAGTTTCATTTTTTTAATACCGTGTTTAATTCTCAGATTATGATAAACTGGATCAAAATATCCAATTTCGATTGGACAGCCAATAAGAATCCATTGAAGAAAATATGATCTCTTTTTGCTACGAATAGAAGTTTCATTAGACGTATTTGATATAATTGGATTTAATATAAATTTTCATACCATTCTTCAAGTTCCTGATTATAATTTTTTCGAAAATCGTGCCAACTTACGGAAAACCCAACAATCGACTTCAAACTAAATCGAATGAAAACATCTGCTAATTTTACATCATCCGAGCCTACTAAAGCACCAAATAAATGGTAATTGTTACTCTTCAATACGTTCTCGAAATCAATTTGTAAATATCCGGCATCGTAATCAGCTATCGAATTTTTGCCAGTCATTAGAATACAATCTTGTTTCTGATAAAAATACTCAATTTTTTTTTGATGCTCAATTTCAAGGATTTTGTGTAAAGGGACAGTAAATAGTTTGATAATACGCCACTCTGATTTATTTCTTTTGTTTAATTCTAGCCAACTAGGGATTTGACTTTATAGAGAAAAATAAAATATTAAATACTGTGAAAGGTAAAAGGATAACATACATTAAAATACCTTATTTCAATTGGTGTGGAATCAATTGCAAACATATAAGAAGAATCAAATGGTCTCATCTTTTCTCGCCAAACTTTCAAAAGCATATTTTCTAAATAAAAATTTATCAATACATGTATTATTTATTTTATTAAATATCTCAATATTTAAATTACCTTTTTCTGAAAATTCCATGAATTCATGTTCATTATTTATTTTAATTTTTTCATCGAGTTTGTTTTCAGGAAAACAAACAAGTCTTTTGAGCTTATTGCCAATTATTACTTTTGTAGGGATTAAGTGGCCAAAAATTCTATAGACATTCTCTAATTTGTCAATTGGAGTTTTTGAATTCAATGCTGCTTTAATCATTGAAATTAACTGGGCTGTTGGCTTCAAGCTTTGAATATTAAAATCAATTGAGATCTGTTCGCAAAGAATCTCACAATACAGATCATTAGTGGCTGAAAGATCTAGTATTTTGCTGTTAAAAGGCAAATTCTGGATCGAATCAGGTATTACTATTCCTTGAGATAATAATAAAGAATCGAACTTTTGTGTTATATTACGAAGTTTAATACTCTGCTGTATTTCATTTTTTACTATCGGAGCTGAATTAACATGAAATGCAGTTTGATAAGATTGTTCAACCGAATTTTGATCAATAAAAAGTCCATGCGATAATTTGAATTTTTCTTTCCAAATACAGATTTTTTTTAAATTGACTTTAAGAGAGCTTGAGTATGAGCTAAAGCATAATCCAAGAATATATTGAGCTTCAATTCTTCCTCCGTTTGCTGATTTTAAGTAACAGTCAAAAGCTTTATTATCGTTTTTTATGGTTCCTTTCCCAAAATGATAACATTCTCCAAGATGATATAAGGCTTGAATTTTATCGTTATGTTTTGTAGAATACATCGCTTTTTCCTCATCTTTTAGTGTTCCAAATCCATTTTCATAACAATCACCAAGATTATTTTGTCCATCCTCTGCTGAATTCAAGTGCCATTCGAATGCTTTTTTCTCATCTTTTTGTGTTCCGATTCCTTCAGCGTAACATAAACCAAGTTTATATTGTCCTTTTGCGTCTCCACCTTCTGCCGATTTCAAATACCAATCGAATGCTTTTTTCTCATCTTTTTCTGTTCCGATTCCATTTCGATGACACAAACCAAGATTATATTGTCCCGATAGATTTCCACCCTCTGCTGATTTTAAGTACCACTCGAATGCTTTTTTCTCATCTTTTTCTGTTCCGATTCCATTTCGATGACACAAACCAAGAAAATTTTGTCCTTGAGCATTTCCACCCTCTGCTGATTTCAAAAACCATTCAAATGCTTTTATCTCATCTTTTTGTGTTCCGAATCCATTTAGATAACACCACCCAAGATTATATTGTCCCGATAGATTCCCACCATCTGCTGATTTTAAGTACCATTCGAAGCCTTTTTTCTTATCTTTTTCTGTTCCGATTCCATTTTGATAACAGAGAGCAAGATTAAACTGTGCTTGAGGATCTCCAGACTCTGCTGATTTTAAATACCATTCGAATGCTTTTT